GTTCGCTCATGCTGCGTGCGCCAACCTTGGTTGCTCCAAGAGTACTGTGCCTCTCACACCTGTGAATATTGCCCACGATTTTATTAAAAAATGGCGTCTGTTTACAAGAGCCCTGAGGAAGCTACTGTGAACCCCGAGTAGCCACAGGCTATTTGAATCGTACCTGGCACCCTATGGCGTATATGTATGCCATGCGCACCGTGGGAGATATTACTCATGGCATATATATACGCCATGCGCAGTTTAAGGGTTAAATGAAGTAGTACTGCATGGTAATGTTACCTTGCTTTTTATTGATAATAAAGATGTATTTGGAATCATTAAATAGAAGACCAGTATATCAGCATATTGTGAATGTGCATTGAGAGAACATTTCATTTGGAGATAATGCTACTTGTGTCCAAAAATCAATACTGTACACTTAGTTTGGGGGAGGATGCAAATTATGTCCTCAATGCCCCAAAATTCCATTTATTTTCCAATTTATTAAGCTACTTGTATTAAAATGTGCGCCAATGTCATGCGCCAATTTGATACCAAAATGAATGATGTAGCACCAAAATTGAGGCGAGAAAACTGGAGAGTACAGTATAAACATTGGAGTGTGCTCGTGTGCTCACGGGCACCACCCGGCCTACCTTGCGGTATGCTGCGGGTGGCCTGCCGACTCAGGCAAACTGTTAACCAACCAACGAAAAAGGGTCATAAACTAGTATTTACTTGAATCCCTTCATATATGGAAGTTATATTTGATAATTTTTAAATCTGATATCGTAGGGGACAGTTGACAAGATGATGAAGAGGTTTACTGAAAAAACTCGTCGATGTTATGTCAAATAACTTTGAAACAAATGAACACAAGAATTAAATTGATCCTAGACGATATATAAAAAGTTGCTGTACAAGGATATTAACCCTTAAAGTGCGCATCACGTCATATGACGTGCTGGACGTTGTTCCAGTCAACTGCGCATCACGTCATATGATGTGTTGGAGTACTACGCAAGATTTAAACAGCCTGCGGATACACGGGGTTCACCACACCTTCATCAGGGCTCTTGTAAACAGTCGCCATTTTTAAAAAAAATCGTGGGCCAAACTCCATGGTGTTATTGTCCTCAGTATTGAGTGAGCAACCAAGCCTGACGCACGCAGCATGAGCTAACAGCACTGCTGTTCAGCTTGTGACCACAGCATCGCCTAAAAATGCCAAATTATACTTGTTCATGCTATTATGTAGTGATGATATTATTACAGAAGACCCCTGACTGTGATAAAACTGACCAGGGTTCTGATAATAGCAGGATTGTGGTGATATTTAGCGCTGTGCGCCATGGAGGGAGGAGTAATGCTGTGGGAGGGAGGATGGTGGCGATGTCTTTTGACTGTGTGTGGCCACCTTTTATTGACTGCACTCAGCATACCAGCTTAGTGGTTCGCTATGGTGGACACAAATGTAGATACTTATATATAACGTGTGTACAGAGGGTATAAACAGCAAGAGAAGTGTAACGGTTCTATTGTTACGTAAAGTATGGTGACAAATAAACACAGACACTAAGATACTATATATATATCTCCAAAGGTTGACAGGAATATTAACAATGCATTTGGAGCGAGTATATTATTGGGATAATCTACTCGCTACAGAAGGTTTGGAGCCGCCATTTTGGTGAGGGCGGTGGCGTCGTCTGCACGACGCCACTGTGCAGACGACGGTGTTGTTTACTGGTTACCACGATGGTCTTTGGGCACCATACCAGTTTATTTATACAAGTATGGTGAATAAAACAGGTAGATATTTATATATAATGTGTGTGTATATAGCGTAATAACACCACACAGTATTGTTGGAGGAGAAATATTAGTGCGTCTGGCCTTGAGGGCGGCAGCCATCAGCTGACTGTGTGAGGTCCTACGTCTTTGTGCCTTTACTCACCATACAAGCTTAGATGTACAGTTATGGTGAACAAAACATGTAGATACTTATATATAACGTCTGTATATAGTGAATTATAGCAAAAACATTATTGTGGGAGGAGAATGTGGGTGAGTCAGATGACTGGAGGGAGGGCGGGAGTGGCTGGCTGGTAAACGGCGGTCACTCCTCGTTACTTTTTGACTCATAATAGCTACTTAGTGGTTCGTTATAGCGAACAAAACATGCAGATACTTATATATAACCTGTGCTTATAATGTAATAACCGACAAAGTATTTGTTCACTAATTGATGAACATAATTGAATCAACAATATGCACACCATATTTTTGAGTACAGTAATGATTCACTCATTTTATTATATAAATATATCAAACTACACACTATTGAATAATATTACAGCAAAAAAAGTATGAAAAATCAATCAGAGACATTGAAATAATTCGGTAATTATCTCTTTGTGGCAACTCCGGCCTGACAGCTGGCGAGCAACAGACCGCCTGGGACGCACGCTGAGTCAGCGCCTATAATTTGCCAGACTTCCCCGCCCTATAGCGGGCAATATATGCCACTTACAATTTTTTTATTATTTTTCCTGTGATCAGTGAACACAAATTAACAGGTTAGGAAGAAAAAATAATTTTTTTTTTTCAAAATGACATGCGCCTGTGGGGATGACAGGATATTAAACCCCGAGCATGTTAAGGGTTAATGGTAGACAGCAGTAACACACTTACGCATTACACAATAATAAACATGAATTCATACTTTACATATGGTAGGCAAAAGTCTACAGATTATGATGACCATACAGTATTGTCTACAGATTATGATTTGGGAATAAATATTACTGGCAATACAATGCTGATGTCGGTGAAAAGATAAGGAATGTAAATTATGTAGTATGCCACATGATCACATGTTAGGCCACTATGTACTTGTGTAAATTGCTTCAAAGCTATAGAAATCAAGAAATTAGTAGTATACCACATAAAATTGCTTGAATGTATGATAATGGTATAAGAGAATTCTTATGAGGTTCAAACACTTCCTCAAGATTGTTTTATTAACAAATATTTTGTAGTATGTACCATGTGATGATTATTGAATTATGCAAGTGTATTTGTAATGTACAATATGATCTGCGAGCCCCTGAAGGGCCTGTAACTGAAGTGGGTAGAAACAGCATCGGCTACTTTATCCCTTTGGGATTATTTTATTATGGCAATAAACTTGTTTATATATATATATATATATATATATATATATATATATATATATATATATATATATATATATATATATATACTAAATCTATATATACTAAATCACCCGAACCAAATGATATATATGGCTAAGTCGAAGTCTTGAGGTACTATTTACCAACACACACTATGCGAGACCCAATACCGAAACACCGATACTTGCCCGAAACGCCATGCGTGCTAGTAGCTTTACAAGAATGTAAAATCAACTTCATTTCTATGTTCTCTGTTAACCCCCAAATGTATCTTCTTGTATATAAATAATAAATAAATGAATACCAGTACATGTATTCAGGTGGGATCGTCCTGTATTTGACACCCACTTAACACGTCCTTGCCTAACCCAGCCCATCCTTGCCTGACCCAGCCCATCCTTGCCTAACCCAGCCCATCCTTGCCTAACCCAGACCATCCTTGCCTAACCCAGCACGTCCTAGCCTAACCCAGACCATCCTTGCCTAACCCAGCACGTCCTAGCCTAACCCAGACCATCCTTGCCTAACCCAGCACGTCCTAGCCTAACCCAGACCATCCTTGCCTAACCCAGCACGTCCTAGCCTAACCCAGACCATCCTTGCCTAACCCAGCACGTCCTAGCCTAACCCAGACCATCCTTGCCTAACCCAGCACGTCCTAGCCTAACCCAGACCATCCTTGCCTAACCCAGCACGTCCTAGCCTAACCCAGACCATCCTTGCCTAACCCAGCACGTCCTAGCCTAACCCAGACCATCCTTGCCTAACCCAGCACGTCCTAGCCTAACCCAGACCATCCTTGCCTAACCCAGCACGTCCTAGCTTAACCCAGACCATCCTTGCCTAACCCAGCACATCCTAGCCTAACCCAGACCATCCTTGCCTAACCCAGCACGTCCTAGCCTAACCCAGACCATCCTTGCCTAACCCAGCACGTCCTAGCCTAACCCAGACCATCCTTGCCTAACCCAGCACGTCCTAGCTTAACCCAGACCATCCTTGCCTAACCCAGCACGTCCTAGCCTAACCCAGACCATCCTTGCCTAACCCAGCACGTCCTAGCCTAACCCAGACCATCCTTGCCTAACCCAGCACGTCCTAGCCTAACCCAGACCATCCTTGCCTAACCCAGCACGTCCTAGCTTAACCCAGACCATCCTTGCCTAACCCAGCACGTCCTAGCCTAACACAGCACGTCCTAGTCTGACCCAGCACGTCCTAGCCTGAGCTAGGCCCCTGAGCATGGAAGAGGCGGCCGGGGCCCCTGAGCCTGGAAGAGGCGGCCGGGGCCCCAGAGCCTGGAAGAGGCGGCCGGGGCCCCCTGAGCCTGGAAGAGGCGGCCGGGGCCCCTGAGCCTGGAAGAGGCGGCCGGGGCCCCTGAGCCTGGAAGAGGCGGCCGGGGCCCCCTGAGCCTGGAAGAGGCGGCCGGGGCCCCAGAGCCTGGAAGAGGCGGCCGGGGCCCCTGAGCCTGGAAGAGGCGGCCGGGGCCCCAGAGCCTGGAAGAGGCGGCCGGGGCCCCAGAGCCTGGAAGAGGCGGCCGGGGCCCCCTGAGCCTGGAAGAGGCGGCCGGGGCCCCTGAGCCTGGAAGAGGCGGCCGGGGCCCCTGAGCCTGGAAGAGGCGGCCGGGGCCCCTGAGCCTGGAAGAGGCGGCCGGGGCCCCTGAGCCTGGAAGAGGCGGCCGGGGCCCTCTGAGCCTGGAAGAGGCGGCCGGGGCCCCAGAGCCTGGAAGAGGCGGCCGGGGCCCCTGAGCCTGGAAGAGGCGGCCGGGGCCCCTGAGCCTGGAAGAGGCGGCCTGGGCCCCCTGGCGCCTCCCTCACCCACCTTGGAGTCGTTCCTGACGAACTGCATGCCGTGGCCCGGGTACACCTTGCTCGAGCAGAAGTAACACCTCTCGATACGCATGGCGGCGGCGGCGGCGGTGTTGTGTTGTTGTTGTTGACGCGCTCCTCGTGGCGCGCCTCCCTCACCCGCAGCCACACACCGTCTCCCAGCGACCACTGTCGCCACCACCGACCTGCTCCCAGCGACCACTCCCGCCACCACCGACCTCCTCCCAGCGACCACTCCCGCCACCACCGACCTCCTCCCAGCGACCACTCCCGCCACCACCGACCTCCTCCCAGCGACCACTCCCGCCACCACCGACCTCCTCCCAGCGACCACTCCCGCCACCACCGACCTCCTCCCAGCGACCACTCCCGCCACCACCGACCTCCTCCCAGCGACCACTCCCGCCACCACCGACCTCCTCCCAGCGACCACTCCCGCCACCACCGACCTCCTCCCAGCGACCACTCCCGCCACCACCGACCTCCTCCCAGCGACCACTCCCGCCACCACCGACCTCCTCCCAGCGACCACTCCCGCCACCACCGACCTCCTCCCAGCGACCACTCCCGCCACCACCGACCTCCTCCCAGCGACCACTCCCGCCACCACCGACCTCCTCCCAGCGACCACTCCCGCCACCACCGACCTGCTCCCAGCGACCACTCCCGCCACCACCGACCGCCACCACCGACCTCCTCCCAGCGACCACTCCCGCCACCACCGACCTCCTCCCAGCGACCACTCCCGCCACCACCGACCTGCTCCCAGCGACCACTCCCGCCACCACCGACCTCCTCCCAGCGACCACTCCCGCCACCACCGACCTCCTCCCAGCGACCACTCCCGCCACCACCGACCTCCTCCCAGCGACCACTCCCGCCACCACCGACCTCCTCCCAGCGACCACTCCCGCCACCACCGACCTCCTCCCAGCGACCACTCCCGCCACCACCGACCTCCTCCCAGCGACCACTCCCGCCACCACCGACCACTCCCGCCACCAGCGACCTGCTCCCAGCGCACATTCAAGGTTGCCGTAAGTAGCTGGGACCAGATTCACGAAAACACTTATGCAAGCACAAGCACTTACGAATCTGTACATCTTTCCTCAATCTTTGGCGGCTTTGTTTACAATTATTAAACAGTTAATGAGCTCTGAAGCACCAGGAGGCTGTTTATAAACTAAAAAAATGTTTAAATGGCTGTTTATGAACTAAAAAAAGTCCACTTATGGATGTCAACCAATAAACTAACACTTAACATAGAAAAGACCTACTACATCTTATTTGGATGCAAATCTACAAATGCAATTCAGCTTCAGATAGACAATGTAAACATTAGCAATAAAAATGATGGAAAGTTTCTTGGCCTATTCCTAGACAAGAGACTCAACTTCAGCACCCACATACAACACATAACTAAGAAAGTCTCTAAAACAGTTGGGATACTCTCCAAAATCAGATATTATGTACCTAACTCTGCTCTCATCTCTCTATATTATGCACTAATCTATCCCTATCTTAATTATGGTATCTGTGCATGGGGTTCAACCACTGCAAACCACCTCAAGTCCATCATCACCCAGCAAAAATCTGCTATCAGAATAATAACAAATTCTGCTTTCAGATGTAACGGTTCTATTGTTACGTAAAGTATAGTGACAAATAAACACAGACACTAAGATACTATATATATATTTGGTCGAATATACAGAAGTACACAGGTGATACTTTGGTGTGAGTTGAGCGCACTGAGCGTCGGTACAGTATCTCGCAAGTGTCTGCTCTAGACCACACTTGAAAGTAGACTAGTTAATGTTTGATTGATAAAGATTAAGCCACCCAAGAGGTGGCACGGGCATGAATAGCCCGTAAGAGTAAGTAAATGTTTGCTATTCTGCAGGAAGATATTTGTGAGTTAATGTTTGCTATTCTGCTGCTTATATGCTCGGGCAATACCTCACCGTGTTGCCCGGGCAACACCTCACCTCATTCATCTCCAAAGGTTGACAGAAATATTAACAATGCATTTGGAGCGAGTATATTATTGGGATAATCTACTCGCTACAAAACTCCCCCTCCCAGGGGATGAAAGGAAAAATACTTGATCAAGGAACTTAGCTGGTCGGTGAATTGTACGCCCTGCTCGCGTTACATAACCATCAAAGTTAACTTCCTCCTCTTCGCTGATGTCATCTAACTGGGGTCGTAGGGTGGGAGGTCGCACAGGATCGTCCGTCGTCGTAGGATCAGGTTGTGGTGCGGCTGGTAACTGGGGTTGTAGGGTGGGAGGTCGTACAGGATCGTCCGTTGTCGTAGGTGGCGGTGCTGCTGGTAACTGAGGTCGAAAAGTGAACTGCGTAGTCGGCGGATGTGTCTCTGGAGGGATGTCTGGGGCAGCGTCATAGTGTGCTGGTTTAAGGCGATCGATGAATGAGGTTGACAGGAATATTAACAATGCATTTGGAGCGAGTATATTATTGGGATAATCTACTCGGTACAAGCCGACAGGCCCCATAAGCACATTGCATTCATTTTGCTTGTGGAGCATCAAGTCAACGAGCCTTTATCTATCGCCGCATCCAACATTTAATCATTATTGTGTGTCTTTGGGAAAATTACCGAAGTTTGAGGTGGACGCCCGATAAAGAAACGCGGTTTTCTTTATCCATCGCCACGGATAAAGAAAACGATGTTCAGCGACTATTAACGTGATTCGCTCTGCAGTATTCAAATATATTTTAATATTATTAATAACATCAGCGCTCGTGTATTTTATATTATAGAAAGGCAATAAACTTAATAATATAAATATATTTTGGATACCTAATAGGTACTATAGACTGAACATGGTTGTGTTGACTTTAGCAAATGCACCTTCCAGAAATCTTAAAGATCATAGTGTAGACGGGAACTGTATGGCCGTGTTTATTAAGTTCAAGGAAGTTTATTTAGAAAAAGAAGTACATCTCAAAAGGATTAAATAGCTTAAGCTATTTCTACCCTCGTCTATATAAGGTCTCTCAAGGGGCGTACAAACCCATACACTACACAATTATTTATCATATTTTACATATCATATTCCAATAGTAATCACGTGGCATACTGTGAGATCTCTTATTGGTTATGCTGCTCCTGTCATGTATTGTTTTGGTAAAGGTAGTTAAAGCAGCGGCCGTCCTCCCCAGACAACCCGTCCTCACACTAGGCTGGTTAAAGCAGCGGCCGTCCTCACACTAGGCTGGTTAAAGCAGCGGCCGTCCTCACACTAGGCTGGTTAAAGCAGCGGCCGTCCTCCCCAGACAACCCGTCCTCACACTAGGCTGGTTAAAGCCGCGGCCGTCCTCCCCAGACAACCCGTCCTCACACTAGGCTGGTTAAAGCTGCGGCCGTCCTCACACTAGGCTTGTTAAAGCAGCGGCCGTCCTCCCCAGACAACCCGTCCTCACACTAGGCTGGTTAAAGCTGCGGCCGTCCTCACACTAGGCTTGTTAAAGCAGCGGCCGTCCTCCCCAGACAACCCGTCCTCACACTAGGCTGGTTAAAGCTGCGGCCGTCCTCACACTAGGCTTGTTAAAGCAGCGGCCGTCCTCCCCAGACAACCCGTCCTCACACTAGGCTGGTTGACACAGCACCCGTTGTCCCCAGGCGCTTTCGTCAATTTTAACATACTGTGTGTTAAAAATTGGTTTGTTCTCATATGTAAATTAATATTATAATACCTAAAACTTCTATGTATAGTTAGACGTAGCTAGGTTAGGTGTTTAGGTTCTGTTGGCGATTATTTGTATTTGAAGTACGTGAGTGAAGCATTTATAGCAACCACTGATTCCATATATGACTAACTATCCTGTGAGATGGGAATATTAGGTGACCTTATAGCTAGTTTTTGTTCTACACTGTGTAATCTCTCATTTAGAACAGGGTAGCAGCACATTACTGTGTATACCTAAGCTTTATAATAAAAAAGGTAGTATCGTCAGCAAATAGTATAGGTTTAAGAATGTCAGAAACAGCTTCCGAAGCTGGACAGAGTGAGTCTCTCACTCGTGCAGACTCTGGGAACAGCACAAGAACATCTTCCAATATTCGTGTGTGTGAAGTAGTTACACAGCTCAGAGTACCTCATACCATGTGGTCTGAACTCACTGATAACAGAGCAATCACCGATATAGTGTTGGAGAGTGTGTCCCAGCTATTGTTCACATAGTTTACTATAGGAATGTTCACCATTGGGGTATTCATTACTTGCAGCCACCTGCCATAGATATCTATATCACAGCTTAATTCTGGTAATTATAAAGTCACACGGTCGTCTAGTGAATGTAACACGGGTTTCTAGCAGAATTAATAAAATGATAACAGATACATTGCAAGAAAAAAAATGAGATGAGAGAGATTAGTAAGTATATTAAAGCACATTGGTATATTAAAGCTCTGATTGATTACATTGACAGCTTGATTGGTAATTTAAACAAGATTAATAGGCACCATACCTCTCTCTACTTGGTGTTCCTCTCTACTTCTCTTCCTTCTTTGCCCTCTACCCGTATTCTTACTTTTATTTCTAAACCAAGGGACTCCAAAACTTTTAACAAAGCCAACTCCACGCCACGTGGTCCTAAGACGATTGACCGACTTAGGATTCTACACCCAGTATGACGTGACCTAAGCTCTGAACAAAACCCTAGAGTCACCTCTGCTGCCACCACCAGACCAGTAATACAAGAGCAATGATCGAGGTCTGGATCGATCACGCTAATTAATCAACCTAGGGGCTTGATCCCCACTATATACGATGACCTTGAGTGTGGAATAAATTACACGGTAATGATAATTCCGATTCGATGTTAGAATCGGCGCCCAATGCAACTCTGCCTCGTGTGGACCACGTGACCAGGACAAGTATACACATAAAACACATGGAAACAATAAAATGCAAATTAATAACAAATTTAATTTATTAAAAGAAAACTAAAACAAAATCTAAATATGTTCACTCCCTATCACTTTAACACTCCCTACTTGACCTGAGTGGCAAATGAGAAGACTATTTCTATAATTAACAATAGCAACTATACCTTGGGCGACCAGCTAGATGTTTTGGCTGGTCTTGGGGAGAGGTAAGATGTTTGACCTCTTATCCCAGCTGCTCCCGTTTCCACACTGATCTT